TAAAGTTACACCACTACTAACCATGGGTATATCATACCCGATTTTGAAAATGTAAAAAAAAATATTAAATATAAATCTTTATTTGAAATATTTTACATGCAGGCACTTCAAACTTTGTACTTTGAATTAACATGAATAGGAACTGAAAAACATATTATTTAGGTAAGAAAACCAGGTACTGAAAATTGTTATTAAAAATAGGAAAATTTGCGCTGGGTACTATATACCCATGGTTAGTGTTCTAGGGTTAATCTAACATGATTCACTTTTATTAAAATATCGAGATAGAAATGAAAAAGCAAAGAGACAGAGTACTGGTATGTCATGATTTTTGTTTAGTTCTTATTGGTCAGAATCATGTCACGTGTATTAACGCAATAGATAATATATAAATATGTGAGGAAGATTTTGTTCTTTAAAATGTGTGACAGTGTAAGAGTGTGTATGCAAAGAAATGCTTGTGTGTCTAGGCGTATGTTGTACGGTAATGTTAATCCATGTAAATATATAAATGCGTGTGTAAGGAAAGTCTATAGATGTCAGCCTCGTTTATGGCGGTGAAAATGTAGCGAGTTGTTGCAATAATTTTGTATTTGGTTGGATTTTAATACTTATTCTTTTTATTTTATCATCTTGTCGGATTCCTATCCATATCTGATCTACATTTGATCTTCAACTATATATATATATATATATATATATATATATATATATATATATATATATATATATATATACTTGTAGAAAATACAAGTATAATAACTTCATCCATGTGTAAAAATGACTAAAAATAATGGAAGTACAAATAATAAAAATATAAAAGCCAACCTTCACTAATAGCAACTATGAACACGGCCACAATGTACTGACCGTGCTTTGGAAAAACATTCCTATAACTCTAGATACATACATTAATTATCCATATATTCAGTTAAAAAATAAAAATCATCCTTGATAATTGCTAAAAGAAAAGGCGAAAGCACTCGGCCTGTGGTAGATATTGATATATCCTTCCAAGTATTCATTAAACAGGAACTCCCTATCCATAAGATCCATAAGATCTCTTTCCGGTATCAGCTTGCTGATTGGGATTCATTCCGAGATTTTCTTCAATGACGCCCCTGAGACTGATATCCTCAACGCCCCAGTTGAAAATTTAGCCACTGTGATTGTCTTCTTGGGTTAAAGCCAAGCAAGCTCACTTTCATCCCTTCTCGAAAATATCAGGTGAAACCGCAATCCTCTCCATGGTTCACACCAGCATGATCGGTCGCCATAGCACACAGGAACCACTATTTCCAGCTATACCAGCGTGACAGCTCTCGTTATAACAGGAGCCTATTTGCTACTGCTCGTAAAAAATGTGAGTCCTCAAAGAAGTCCCTGCTTACTGAGAGAATGAGGCACTGCATAACCTCTTAAAACTTTGGCTCGCATGACTTCTGGCGTCTTGTAATAGGGTACTAAATAAGTGTAAGGTCTCTATTCGCCCAGTCTTCAATCGATTTGAGGTGTTATCATCCTCTGTTGATAAAATTGAATGCTTTGCCCATAAATTCTTCTCAAACTCCCTGTCTGACTTCCCACTTAGAACTGATTCCCTGTTGAGTGATATGCATATAACACCTTCCATGTTTTCTGCTATCATCTCTAACCTTGATCCGCACAAAGCATGTGGACTCGATGGCATCCTTGTAATAGTCATTAAGAAGTGTGCTTCCGAACTGGCTCCTGTTCTCTCTAAACTATATAATAAATGGCTTGCTGCCTCCTGCTTTCCTTCTTGCTGGAAGTCATCGTCTATTGTTCCAGGTTTTAAGAACTCTGGTGAACCGTCACACCCATCCAACTATCGGTCTATTAGTCTTCTGCCTCTTTTTAGAGGCCCTAATCAATGCTGAATTGGTTCATCATCTCTCATCGCAGGGCCTTTTTCTCAGACAAGCAATACAGCTTTCGTTTCACCAAGTCAACTGCTGATGTGCTAACGATAATTGCGGAAAAAAAAAATCTATCGCTATCTACCGTCAACCTGATTGCTCTTTTCTTTTTCCTCATTACTAATGTTTTTGTTCCTAATTCCTCCACACCCTGTAACTCAGAGTCTATTGGCTGTACTGCCTTGCTTGCGGATGGTGGATACCTATTGGACAATTTTTACACGCTTTATGTCCAGAAAAGAAAACATTTATACGACCACAAGAAGAATTAAATAAAATGCATAATCACAGTCAGTTGTCTTTAATGAAATATAAAAGAGTCACATCAATCTCCTACCACTGTTTGGCACAGTCTTCGAGGATTTAATCAATGTCGAAGTAGTTAAGCATCTCACCTTCCAGGATCTACTCTCTGTCAAATAATATGGTTTCCGTTTTGCCCGGTCTACTGCTGATGTGCTTACGGCCATAGCTGAATATGTATACCATATCTCCCAGGATCTGCTCTCTGTCAAATAATATGGTATCCGTTTTGCCCGGTCTACTGCTGATATGCTTACGGCCATAGCTGAATATGTATACCATATCTCCCAGGACCTGCTCTCTGTCAAATAATATGGTATCCGTTTTGCCCGGTCTACTGCTGATGTGCTTATGGCCATAGCTGAATATGTATACCATATTTCCCAGGATCTGCTCTCTGTCAAATAATATGGTTTCCGTTTTGCCCGGTCTACTGCTGATGTGCTTACGGCCATAGCTGAATATGTATACCATATCTCCCAGGATCTGCTCTCTGTCAAATAATATGGTATCCGTTTTGCCTGGTCTACTACTGATGTGCTTATGGCCATAGTTGAATATGTATACCATATTTCCCAGGATCTACTCTCTGACAAATAATATGGTTTCCGTTTTGCCCGGTCTGCTGCTGATATGCTTACGGCCATAGCTGAATATGTATACCATATTTCCCAGGATCTGCTCTCTGTCAAATAATATGGTTTCTGTCTTTCCCGGTCTACCGCTGACGTGCTTACGGTTATAACTGAATATGTATACTATGCTCTTGATAATAACAGTGAAGCTCGAGCTGTTATGGATATATCGAAGGCGTTTGACAGGGTTTGGTACACTGGCCTTCTGCGTAAGCTTCAGTGATACGGTATTACCGGACGATTATTTTATTTAATCTAATTATTCCTGTCTAACCGTGAAATGAAAGTTGTCCTGAATGTGTTCTCCTCCGGTTTTTTCCATACGAATGCTGGTGTTCCTCAAGGCTTTATCCTTGGCCCTACACTGTTTCCGATCTTCCTCAATGATCTTCATGACGTCATCAGTTCTCTAGTAGTCATCTATGCAGACAACACTACCATTTACCCCTGTCTCAATAGTAAATCCAGCATTGCTGACAAAGTTAATCTGGCCGTTGGTCTCGAAAGGGACCTCCAATCTGTGGTTGACTGGGGCAGCAAATGGCTTGTAAATTTTAATGCAGCCAAATCGAAACTGCTGTCATTTGCTCAGTATAGAGAAACGCCCCCCCCCCGTTTCCTATCAGATTGGTTGATGCTCACCTCCACGAGAGCGCCTCACTGCGCCTTCTTGGTTTCGTGTTTTCCACTGATGTGAGGTGGAACAACTACATTGAATCAATAGCTGCATCTATCGCAAGGAAAGTTGGTTCTCTGTGTCGCACCAGAAGGTTTTTCTCGTCTGAGACCAACCTTCCCACCCATAAATCTACCAATCGTCCATGTATGGAATACTGTTGCCATATGAAGTTTGCTGCTCCCACTGTTCATTTCGAGCTTCTCGAAAAAATCCAAAAACGGATATGCAATGTCATCGGTTCTGACTTGGGGTCTCGACTCCAGTCACTTTCTCACCGACGTAATGTGGCTTCCATCTGTCTTTTCTACAAATATATTCATGGTAACTGCTCTGACGATCTATTTTCACTGGTGCCCTGATTGCATGAATTTAAGCGTACTACTAGTTTGGCATCTCGGTCCCAGCCTTTTACTGTCGAAACAGTTCAATGTAATCGCCTCCAACAGGTTCTAATCTTGCACTTCCCGACAGTGGAACTCCCTTCTCCTCACCTGCTTCCCTGATAAATATAATCTTCAAAAATTTAAATGTAATGTCAATCGATATCTTCTGTTGCCTTGATCCCTGTTCTTCTTTTTATCCTCCTCCTCCCTTCTTCTTTTTATCCTCCTCCTTCCTTCTTCTTTTTATCCTCTTCCCTCCTCCTTTTTATCCTCCTCCTTCCTTCCTTCCTTCTTTTTATCCTCTTCCCTCCTCCTTTTTATCCTCCTCCTCCCTTCTTCTTTTTATCCTCCTCCCTTCTTTTTATCCTCCTCTTCCCTTCTTCTTTTTATCCTCCTCTTCCCTTCTTCTTTTTATCCCCCTCCCTTCTTTTATCCTCCTCCTCCCTTCTTTTATCCTCCTCCTCCCTTCTTTTTATCCTTCTCCTTTCTTCTTTTTATCCTTTCATAAGTCGTTTCCATTTCTTACAATCTCTGTATCCGGTTGCGTACTAGTGGTACTTCCGCCTTGCTTGGGGTGAAATGATTAAAAAAAAAATAAAACAAAATCAAGAAAAACAAAAAACTTATCCATGTTAAAATAACTGATAGAAACATATAATGTTGGTTGGATTTTAAAATCGGCTTGACGACACGGTTTGCAATCATTGATAAAAACACAAATAGTAAATTTGAATAAAAATTTCTGGTTAAATGTTGTTCGTATTTAAAGATGGCCTGACGACATGGTTTTCACTTACAGAAAAGATTGATAGAAACACAAATATTAAATCTGGGGGAAAGTTTTGATCAATTCTTGGTTAGAAGCCTGTAAGACAAGACTTGACGAATTGCTTGACGAACGGATTTATAGTAACACAAATAGTACATGTAAATAAAACGCTCTGATCAAATGTTGGTTTTATTAAAATGGCCGGACAAGAAGTGTGCCTCAGGAAATGATGGATAGAAATACAAGCAGTAAATGTATAAGTAGAGTAAGAAATAAAGTAAAGATGCTGGATCAGAAACATAAGTAAATTCTAATGCCATGAAAGAAGATTCGATTTATAAATAGAAAAGAAATGGCGAACAGAGAAAGCGCATTAAGAAAAGAAAGAATGAGAGAAGAAAGAAAGCAGAGAAAGATAAGTAAACAACAAAGAAGGATAAAGGGGAGCAAAAAGAAAGAAAGAAAGAAAGAAAGAGAAAGAAAGAAAGCAGAGAAAGAAAGCAGAGAAAGAAAGCAGAGAAAGATAAGTAAACAACAAAGAAGGATAAAGGGGAGCAAAAAGAAAGAAAGAAAGAAAGAAAGAAAGAAAGAAAGAAAGAAAGAGAAAGAAAGAAAGCAGAGAAAGAAAGCAGAGAAAGATAAGTAAACAACAAAAAAGGATAAAGGGGAGCAAAAAGAAAGAAAGAAAGAAAGAAAGAAAGAAAGAATACTAAAGGGGAAGAAAGATAAAAGAAAGAAAAACGAAAAATAAAACCTTATATCAGATAGAACAATGAGAAAACTTTTTTTTATTTGATTCTTTCATTATTTTTTTCTGACAATGGAATTTCAAAAGAAAAATACAGCTTCTGTAGCGCATATGAAAATAAAATAAGATAAAATGGAATCAAGACATCTCTCATAGTGTGTAAACAGAGAGAAAAGAGAAAATGGCAAAGTAACAAGTGGGGGAGAAGGAAAATTGCAATTAAAAAAAGATAGAAAATTGGAAACGTAAATAAAAGCATGTCGAAGAAAAAACAAAGGAGTAAACGAAAGAAAACGAAAGACCAGAAAAAAACATCGACGGAATCTAGCAGACGACATCAGTAAAAGCACACGTGACGCAGAGATACAATCGAATTCAAAATCCAACCCCAAATGACGCATATGCGTTTTAATCAAAAACATATTTTTTTCCAATTGAGCCAATTTAACGTCGAATAATTAATTAGAACAGGGGCATTGTTAAATCTCAATACTTTCCAGTCTTGATAGAGTTCAAAATCATTGTGGTTGATGAATTATTTTTCACTTTACAACCCTATTCCCGCATATAAAACCTCATGGGCCTCTCGCAACTCTATCGCTATTTCCATGGCAAATGTTCTGACAAGCTGCATCCCATCAACCAGTTTTAAGACTCACCATGCTGCATACACAGGGACGAACCATCCACATTCCTTTCATTTCCCATTAGGAAGAAAAAAAATTCCAGCTTCTTTCCAAGAACTCCTACTTTGTGGAAAGACTCCCGAGAGGATGCTTTCTTGGTCACGGCAATCTTAACCTCGTCAAGTCTAGAGGTAACTGTCATCTGTTAACTGTTTCCGCATATCGTCATAAACTGCACTTCTTGCCTCCTCTTGCTCTTACATTCATACAACTCATTCAGAAACGCTCTAACTTGAGTGGCTCGTGGGACTGGTACTGGGTAAACATTAATAAAAAAAGACTTCAGTGAAGGAACACAATATAAACTTTAAGCGTCAAAACTTTAAACACAGCAGTGCAGTGTATGGCTTCGCAGAAATGAAATCATCGGGATGATGCATGTGTGACGTAATAGGTAAAGAGTTAGTGTAGCTATGACAGCCGCGGAAGCGGTGTAGCATTTGCTAACGTTTTCCTCTGCTATAGCAAATGTATGCCAAAAGTATATGGATTCTGCATAGACATCAACGTTAAGTGAAAACCGAGGGTAACCCCAGGTGATGCAATATTCTCAAAGATGGTTTGATTGATTGATTCGTGTTTTACGGTTTATCAACCCTTTGCAGTTTATATAAATATTTTCATGGTAATTGTTAGAATGAACTTTCTTCTTTGATACATCGACTTTAGGAATTTAGAAGGATGCTTGAGATGCCGTGGACCGAACATGTGAGTAACGACGAAGATTTTTGAAAAAATGGAAACACAAAAGAAACTAATACTTAACATCAGAAAGCGATATTTGAGGTTTCTGGGGAATATAATGAGGAAAGAGGGATAGTTTGAGGGCAAGAGGGACAGAGGAAAACAACGTCCACCCTTGTGCAAATTAACTGGAACAAAACGAATAATACCGTTATTATTTACTTTTTTTTCGTATTTTTCCAATGAAACATGACCCATTGCACATTTTAGTACTTCGTATGTCCATTCCACGAAGTCTTTCCTTGCAGACTGACCACAGATTCTCGATTGGATTTAAATCAGCATAGTTTCCGTTCCAGTCTATAGTACTTTGATTTGCTTACTGGTAAGGCTTGCCAGTGTGTTCGTGCAGCGTTACAATTTTCGCACGCTTTCTTGAAGTAACGTCCATTGCAGACAATGGCCGTAGGATAACTAATCGACAATCGAGACAATAGTGTCTGGGCGTGATAAAAATCTGATGCAATCACAGATGACCCAATATTTTTAAGCCCAAACAAATTTCATCACATACCCCGAAAATAGATTTATATTACTGCACACCACTTCAAATGACCTAATCTGAGCAAGAAATAGAAATTGATTAGACCCTGTCAATTCAGTGGGTCTAAAACTAACCGTATGGTGAAAGAAAGGTAACTAAAGCGGTTGTTTCAATTAATTTGCACAAAAGTGTATTAATATACTTAATGAGCTTGAGTAAATGGATGACGGCACAAGCTTTGGAGAACAGAAAGACAAAGTTTATTAAGAGCTCTAAAGAACAGGAAGTTGTGGAACGCCATGATCGCCTACGTGCTGAGGAGACACGAAAGATAAAAAAGAAAGACTACAGTGACAGGATCTCTCATAATGTCACTGTTTAAATTACAAGTGGTAACCGTAAGTTCTCTGCTAATAGTGCCTGCTTCCGCACTTCTCGCCTGTGGAATTCTCTTTCATTGGAATGTCAATCGTCATCTTCTGTTTCTTTTATTGTCTTCTTTGTTTCTTTCCCTCTCAATAACGCACTTTATCCTAGTGGAGTTTGTTGCCTTACATGAGGGGAAATTAAAAAAAAAAAGAGAGAGAGATAGAAAGAAATTTCTGTCCTGGCCTATTGCGCTTACATAGCACAAATGCTATTTGTGGAAAGCATAAATCCACTTATTATTTCCCTCTCCACATCTATTGGTTAAATAAATGATTGGATTATTTTTCTAGACTTACGTGGAAACCACTCCGGAAGAAGCCACTCCGGAAGAAGAACATTTCAAAACTGTTGAAAAGGAAACGGGAATATTTCCCCCATCTTTCCAAAGCAGACATAGCAATTTAGAAATAATAAAGTACAAAAAGCTAAGACATGTTCAACAATGTAGTAAATCACCGCCTCTTAGACAAATGGAGTCGCAAAGCAAAGTGCTGAACATTTAAATTTCAGTTTCTATGTTATTTCACAAACGCACGATATTTAAGGTGATGCGACACTCAAACGCTGCGGTAATAAAACGCATATGCGGCGCCATTGCAACTAAAGTGCAGTGACAACGGATATATTTTCAGTTTACTTGGTTAATACCTGCAGTCGCGAAAAATCTCGTCATGAAAAATAGGGTTATGAATGAAAAGATTTTATGAAGCGCTGATCTAAACTATCAGCTGTATACAATCTCAGTTTAATGATTACAAATTGCTTTGAACAAATGAAGCCATGGTGAATTACAGTTAAAATTTTTGTGTATTCTACGTTTAAAGATCATTTTTTTTTATTCAAACGCTGACCCAAGGGATCTTTCCCCAACAAACTGTTTTATCGATCAATCGTTCTACGTATTTTCCAGGGCGCCCATAAGAATGTGATACAAGGCTAGATTAAACCAACACTTCATAAACTATAGGTCGCGAAGCGAAATGCTGGGGGCGCGAAAATTAAATTTAATTAAACACTTGAATTTCAGTTCAATGCCTGTATGTTATTTCAGAAACGCACGATTATTAAGGTGACGTGCCACGCAAGCGCCACGGTAATAAAACGCGCAAGTGCATTGACAACGGATGTATTTGGTTAATACCTGGGGTTGCGAAAAATCTTTATGAAAAATGGGGTTCATAAGTACAAAAGTTTAAGAAGCTCTGTACTAAAGGAAAATGACATTAAAAAAAATAATTTAATAACAGAAAGCCATAAAGAAAACAATCATTTGATTATAAAAGTCATAGAAAACAAAAACAATTAAATATCTCGATTTATAATTTCAGTTCAACTTTCTTTCATTCATTTTTATTTCTATATGAAATCACTATATTTGCATTTTATTTTAACATATTTCCTATAGACAAATATCATTGACATGTTCAAGGATATATTTTAAGATTTTATTAACTGTTAAAATGTCTCAAATTAGCCATTGTGTTTTATATAGGTTTCCATGGTAAAAACTTTTTCTTAAATTTTTTCCCAGTTATGTTTTGATCTTCATCTCTGTACCGTACCCCTTTAGGACATAGACAGTCAGGGCTCTCCACAATTTCCTGTTCTTTGCAGCTCTTAATAAATTTTGTATTTTTGTTATTTCTCCTAAACCTTGTTCAGCCAGCTATTTACACTTAAGTTCACTAAGTATGTTATGCATTTTAGTTTATATGTACCAATGCGCACACCTTCGACCCAAAAGTTTATCTTTTGACTTCTGACTTCATCATTAAATAGAATGTGAGTTTCGAGAGAACATTTAGAGACATGGCTGCATTGTTCTTTTCCAAACAAATTCCTAAGTTTAATCTTTTTGATTAGTTTACAAATAACCACACCCACCAGCAGTGATGCCATACTCTGCTGGTATCTTGTTGATACCTTCTCCAATGCCCTAAAATAAAATATTAGATACAAGTACTTGAAGATTTTTTTAAAGACATTGCACTACGATGTTACCTAGTGGTTAAGATAGTTGCATATATCTCATCGTTACTGCTAATCTTTGTTCAAGTGAGGGACTTGATATACTCTTGAGATTCATTCTTTAGAAATAAAAAAAAGAGCTAAACTGTTATGTAATATCTTACGTTCTATATAGCAGTGAATGCTGGGAAATTTTCTCACAGATGAAGAAGAGACTTCTACCAACGAATGCTGATAATTCCATGTAGATAACATGGGAGCAATAGTGAAATACTAAGAAAAACAGGAACAACAGAAACTTAAAAGCTGAAAGTGGCCATTTCCTTTTTAAGTGACCGGCGTCCTATATTTAGATGGCAGCGTTCCTATTTTTAGTAACTGCTTTCCTATGTTTAACTGTCACCGATTTTATGTGTCTACCTTCCTAGTTTTTAAGTTACTGCCTTTCTATTTTCAAGAAGTAAATCATAGGTATAAATGCAAGCAAGCAAAAGATGAATAACTCAATGAGATGTGTGCAGAGAGAGAAAAACCGAAGAACATAGACATATCAGATATACATAAAATATAACGGAAATAACAGAACAAATGTCATGCACATTGACAGGATGCATTTTTTACTATTGTTCATCCAATACAGGGTCCAAGTGCCACTCAAGGTATAGTTACCAAAAGATGGTTACTAAGAGCGTATAAGGAGGAAGGAAGGGATCATATTATGAGGATATGTAAGATAGTTAACAGTTAACCCTAGACTTGAGGAGGTTAATATGGTAGTGGTTATGGAAGTACCTATTCGGGAGTTTGTTCCACATTGCAACAGTTCTGGAGAAGATGATTCCTGAGTGGAACATACTCCTTACTAATGGAATATGAAAGGAATGAAGATGAGTCGACTAACTATACGTGGCATGGTGATTCCTAGCTGTGAAAGTCTGAACCGGTGTAACAATGGAATGTAGTTCGTTGATAACATCTATCATGAAAACAGCGACAGGCGAGCAACGTTCCGTCTGTAAGAAAGATG